ATTTTTGGCCAGGCTCGTCTTGAACTCCTAACCTCGTGATCCGCTTGCTTCAGCCTCCCAAGTGCTGGGATTACAGGCGTGAACTACTGCGCCTGGCCAGTTTCCACTTTTTTTGACCACCACTGCTTTTGTGAAATACAAAATCCCATGCATGGAGGTTGTGGCAATGTTAGTGCTCCAAGAGGTTCTCAATGCTTAGTCGCGATTTCTGTCCTTACACTACTGCCATTAGCAAACAGCTGGCACCTGTTCCTGGCCCTCACTCTGAAAAGCCCTGCCACACACAGCTAATACGCTCAGGTAAATCATTTCTTCTCAGTGCTCAGGTTGGTTTTGGTGTACGAGGTTCCAACAGCATATTTGATTGAAGAGGTGAAAGATTCCCCCAATCCTCAGGGACCTGATTGCCTCTGGATTAAAAGTGCCCACAGAGTTGAAATTCAGCCATGTCTATCTAAGATTAACACCTAGCTAAGTGGCTTCTGGTTAGATACTGAGTTCGGTACAAGCAAAAGCTACTGGCCCAAACACAGAAACATCTCACAATACAGACTACTGGCCCAAACACAGAAACATCTCACAATACAGATCAAATGCTGCTTTCTATTTGAGAACACTTTAGGGAGAAAAATGTCGTTTAATAATCCAACTGACCAAACACATTTAAAGAGGAAACATTTGCTTAATTTGTCTCTCTTGCCCCTCTCTCCACCTCAGCCCTCAGCTCACTTCCAGACCTTACTGTTGAAAGTGGTTCACATACGTAGTTATGTGATACTTAGACTGAGCATGTGGCCCTATGCTGCCATTTAAGCAACTTAGCGTTCCTTTTCTCTGGGTACTTCTAGAACTATTATATTTTTTAGTCATGTGTCCTCCTCATGTTATAGGTGCCTGTGCTTGTTATCTGAATTTTCATTGTATCCTGCTCTCTAGTTTTGAGTAATTCTCTGTTGTTTATCATGTTAGGTTTTTCCAGTGTGAGGAATCTTTGGGTTGTTCATCTCATAAGTTTGTTCTTCTTAGTTTCTTTTTTGAGACAGGGTCTTCCTCTGTCACCCAGGCTGGAATGCAGTAGTACGATCATGGCTTGCTGTACCCCATCCTCCTAGGCTCAAGAGATCCTTCTCACCTCAGCCTCCCAAGTAGCTGGGACTATAAGGCGTGTGCCACCACGCCCACCTAATTTAAAAAAAAAAAAAAAAAAACATCATAGAGACAAGGTCGCACTATGTTGCCAGGGCTGGTCTCGAACACCTGGACTCATGCATTCCTTCTGCATCAGCCTCCCAGGAGTGCTGGGATTATAGACATGAGCCACCATGCGCGGCCTTAGCCTCATCACTTAGTTTTAATCACTTCCTTCATTCTTCTGATCATTATTCCAGTTGCCACACACGATGCTTTCCTGTCTTTGAAACTAACAGCCTTCCAGTTGGTCGGTACCTCCATTTATATTGAGTAATCTCTCTCTGCCCCCTGTGGATGGTCATTTTGGATGATATTAGAGCTGTCTGCTGAGATTTAGAATATTGCTGTCCTATTGAAAAGACATAGACCTGACTTTGCTGATTAACTGTTAAAATCATTATGTTCTTCATTCAGCTCCACATAATCCAGCTGTAGGATATTTCATAATTTTCATTATATTTGTTAATATAGGAGATGATTATAGTGTTTCCCCCTACTGTGCAAAGTATTGGCATCTTTAAGCAGAAGCTGCTCACATGTTTGTTCCAAGGCAGGGTGTGGGGAGCGCTGTCTTCCTGGAACACTGAAAGGGGCTTTGACCCCTAAACTGGTGTCCAGTATGAGTTCCAGTACAGAGCTAAAGTGCTGTTCAGATTTGTAAATTTTCAGCTTTCGTTTGGGTGGTCTTCATGCCCATCATCCTTTCTTCCATCCTCTTTCCTATCACAGAGATTTCCCCACTAATTGGAAATGTATGATCTGTGTCTCAGACCCATTCTTTTTACCCAGTTGTCTGATACAAATTACATAATCAATTGCAGTCTTCAGACTGGGAGTCTCCTCCATTTTCACTTCTATTTTTAACCTTTTGATTATAAAATGAAAAGAAGACCAAGAAAAGAGGGAATGTCCAGGTGTGGTGGCTCACACCTGTAACCCCAGCACTTTGGGAAGCCGAGGCAGGCGGATCACTTGAAGTTAGGAGTTTGAGACAAGTCTGGTCAGCATGGCAAAACCCCATCTCTACCAAAAATAGAAAAATTAGCTGAGGGTAGTGTGGTGTGGCATATGCCTGTAATCCTAGCTTCTAGGGAGGCTGAGGCAGGAGAATTGCTTCAACCTGGGAGACAGAGGTTGTAGTAAGCCGAGGTTGCAGCACTGCACTCCAGCCTAGACAGCAGAATGAAACTCCATCACAAAAAAAAAAAAGAAAGAATGGAGCAAATCAATAGCTGAGATGTCTTCATCAACTTGACTTCAGGTGACTTGTAGCAGGTTCTCCCTGTGTTTGGCTCTCATGCCATCTTCCAGTCAAACAAGGGTATTTCCTGCTACTCCACAGGAGTGCTAATTTTTTTTTTTTTTTTTTTTTT